AGAACAGATTATAAATACCCAAGAAAGAAAGAAAAAGAAAACTACCTCCACAGTACCCAACGGTCTACCTCTAAGTTGTTACAGGAAAAACATGTAACATTAGACATTCTCCAGTAACTGGCATTCAAAAGCGTGCCACCTCCAATTCTGGAGGTGGCACACAACCATCCTGACTGGCAGCCACTGAAAGCACACCAAGACATTGCAGACCTGTACCAGCATAACTGACTGCAGAAAACAGAAACACGCCTGAAATAAATGCCATAAATGCCATCATATTTTGGGCCATTGCACAGGAGCCGCAACTGAATTGCACGACATGGCAGAACCGGGCTATAAAATTACTGTGCGGATAAGCCATTGAAGGACAAACAAAATGATAGCATAACAGCAAAGAAACCGCTACTTTGCGATCACTAGTAGACAAGCAAAGGGAAACGCAAGGGGCTTCATCACTTCACATTACCATTCTGAAATAAAATAAGGAGTTAGCCTCGGTTCAAGTGAAAAATAAAGAGCAGATCCAGAACTGATGTTTATGTGACAAAAGTAGCAATAATGTATCATTTGCCCGAGAAGTAAAATTGACAGTTATTACCAAGGGTTATCTGGTAGCAAATCACATTGTTCAGGTGGCAGGAAGGGAAAGAAATAGCCTATTTGCATATCAGAAATTATTTCCCTTTTTGCTTCCATTCTGTCCTCAGCTTGTTTTCCCCAAGGGATGACGGTTAGCAGAGAGATTATGAAAGTATTATGAAAGCACAGAGAGGGATTTTCCTCCCCGATGTGTTTTGTTACCTTAGTTCTCTGCTGTTGTTTTTCTCTTACTACCACCTCTGAGCTTTTCAAGATCTCCAGGAGCAATTTGATATCAGAATATTTTATATTCCATCCCTTAAGATGTTGTACATGTCAATAGACTTCAGTATGGGAAACGTCCTGCCCAGCCTGATATTGCAGAAATATCTGCGCCTTTGCCTTCCGAGAAATCTAAGTCACTTTCTTAGCTAAGAGGAATCAGCTTCTCCAGGCCTGTCTTTAGCCCAGGGAGATAAGACAGCTGTTTCAGCACCTTGGATAGCTCTAAGCATAGAAGCTGGAAGTTGACTGCTGCCTTATGAATTCCTCCACTCAAATGCTAGGCTAGACTACCTGCCGTGAAAGCAAGCCCTTCTTCTCTCTGGCTCCTCACCTGGCACACTTCCTAAGTCAGAGAGGAAGAACTGTGGAGTGGAAGGTGTTTGGCTCATTAACTGAAGTACCCACCTAGAATCCACCTTGGGTGAAGAATCAGGAACCTGGTGCTGTTTTCTCAGCTTGCATTGGAAAAGCCCTGGGCTCAACTGGTTCCTCCTCCTCCAACTTGGCTATTGCTTGAGCCCAGGCAAAAAGGTCTACCTATCACGCTGTCCAAAGTGGCCAACCCAAATACTCCAGCGAGCAGGACACACTGTTGCTTCCCAGCAACTGATGCCTAGTGGCTTGTCACCTCTGAACATATACATTTAGTGTAACGTGTCATCGTCATCGTCGTCATCATCCCCCTTGCCAGGGCTGGATTAACCATTAAGCAAAATAAGCACATACTTAGGGCATCATGGGAAGTTGGGGGGCACCACAGAAATTTTCCATTGCTGGATTTATTATGGACCATATGGTGCAGCTGAAAGAAAAGGCACCCACAATAAATGAGAAAATTACACACACACACAAAATAATAATAATAGATATAGACCGTATACATTAATATTGGGAATTCAACAAAATAGAATCTGGTAACTAGTAAGCTGGCACTTGGTCCACGGATGTTCATGCATTTATATTTTGAATTAGATATATATGGGGGCACCAAAATCTTTTGAGTGCTTAGGGCCTCTAAAGTCTTAATCCGGCCCTGCCCCCTTGCCCCAGTTCATGTTCTTAGTGAGCTAGTCACAAACCAAAAATCTCTATCTGAATTAGTCTCTGCTATTACCCATGTATCTGTGAAATTAGAATTGTTTGTCACAACATCCATCACCTTACTGATATTCCACCGCATTTGCAAGTTTTGCTACCCATTCACCCCATTTGGAGAAATCCTTTGGGAGCTCTTCACCGTCCTTCTGGGGTTACGCCACTCTGAGTATTTGGCGTCATCCACAAAATTAGGCTCTGAATTAGTACGTGAAATAGCACCAATCCCAATACATATCTTTGAGGAACCCACTTTCTATTCTCCTCCATTGTGAAAGCTGCCCTTTCGTTCCTCCTGCGATTCCTGTTGTTTAAGCTGCCTACTAATTCATAAAATCAGCTTTTAAAACTATATGCTATTTCCCATTTAACCTCAGCTAGTATATAGTCATTGGGCTAGTCACCATAAATAATAATAATTTTATTATTTATCCCCCGCCTATCTGGCTGGGCTTCCCCAGCCACTCTGGGCGGCTACCAGCAGAACAGCTTCCATGCATATCTGAATGTACAAGTACTGTTACATAAGCAGCATTACAAAACTCAGTTGAAAAGAGCCTATTCCTGTCTTCCTGGCACTGGAACCTGAAGGCAGAGAGGCTAGTCTGTTGCTGGCACTGTGATCTATCCCAAAGTCTTTGGAATGGAAACCAATCAATCAAAATATGTAAGTGACACTCGCCTGTTAGCAGCTGTTTGCAAAGCATTCTCTCGAAAAGTTGATGGTGAAGCGAACCAAAGCGTGAAATGCAGTACAGATATTGCAAGTGCCTGAGAGAGGGCATTCCCTCCCCCATCCCATAATCTTCCCACCCTCTCTCTTCTCAAAGGGTGCAGGAGTTCTTCCGCTCCTGTTAAAAGCAATTATGGTTTAAAGGAGACATTTGGTGACACGTGACTTGACGGGATAAAGGCTAGGAAATTTGGCAGACCCCGTTGTGAACGTAAAAAATGTAGAGCTCCCCCTCCCCTCGAGATCTGATAAGAAATATTCTTATTTTCTTAGGACTAGACTTATAGTTCTACCTTATTCTGAGATGAGAAGGTGTAGCTGCCAAGACAGACGAAGCATGGAACTTGTAAGACCTGCGACAGATCAGAAGAATATGGCAGCATTACAGGATTCCTAACATGTTTTTAAAAATTGTATCACTCCAAAAACTCCCGTTAAGACTGGTATCCCCCAGAACTATTCTTCTACTCGTAAAAGCTAAGGTGGTGACAGGAAAAAAAATACACATTTAGAGTTGTAGGTACTCTTACGTATGTAAGTGTATCTCTCTCTCTCTTGCCTCTCTGAAGTATGAATTGCGATGGAATGAACTGAGCCGTCTTCAAAAATTGCTAAACAGTGGAACAATTAGCAATCAGTGGAACAGTGGAACAGTGGAACAATTAGCAATCATAGGGAACGATCATAGGGAAAGCTTCCCAAGGAGCTCATCTGAGAACCATCTCTCTCTCTCTCTATCTATCTATCTATCTATCTATACACACACACACACTAACTTTGGAGCCTTGAATAGGATCCCCACCTTCGTAGCATTTCAGTCTTCATTTTAATGTCCTGCAACCCTCTGACCCCCTGAAAACTCTCTCAGTTCTGCTTTTATAAAATCTTTCAGGCTCCCCCCCACACACACTTAATATATAAAAAAATTAATTATACAAATCATTAGTATTTTTTGAAAAAGGTAATAGAATGGTTCCAAGAACAAGCTTCAGAGAGTATCTGCATATTTAATAATCTGCGTTAATAAATATTTAATCGTTCATTGAATTCAGGTTCTGTCTTGAAGCTTAACTTGATAACAAACCTTGCAACTGGTAGAAACTAATTGGTACAGAACAAGTGAATAATTTATAGGGAGAAAAAGCGCTGGGTTTTCGGAAGGTGCGCAGAGACCAGGAAGCCACAGCTGTTTCTGGGAGCTGACAGGAAAACAATGGCGCCTTCTGCAAATTCCACAGCACGCTGCTGCCCTCCTGAGGCCAACATTTACCATTGGTTCATATGTCTTAAGAAAGGGCTGTAAGGCCGACTACAAAGTCAGATCCATTAAGTTTTAAATATTCATGCATTTCATTAAAGCTATCATAATTGGTCTACCGTACACATTGATTATGCACAGACCATCAAGTGCTTAACCTCTGAAAGCTTGCGTGCGTATTTAAATATATCTGTTATGTCCTGTCTTGGTGGCTTCAGAGAAATCTCCAGCAAGAAGGAGTTGAGCTAGGCCAGGGAGGGGGAAAGAGAGGGAATGATAGCGCAGGGCTGAAGGAGAAGAGAGAGTGCCTCCAGATGTTTCAGAAACAAAAAAGAAGTGGGGAATATTGCATTAAGTTTTGCTGATTATAATACCAGTGCTTCTGTCCCATTTGCTAACGTTTTTTTCACGCTGAAGTACTTGTCGTGTTATGGACCTGTGGCTTTTTGAGCAATATACAGTGGTGCCTCGGGTTAAGTACTTAATTCATTCTGGAGGTCCATTCTTAACCTGAAACTGTTCTTAACCTCAAGCACCACTTTAGCTAATGGGGCCTCCTGCTGCTGCCGTGCCGCTGGAACACGATTTCTGTTCTCATCCTGAAGCAAAGTTCTTAACCCAAGGTAATATTTCTGGGTAACCTGAAGCGTATGTAACCTGAGGTACCACTGTACCAGCATGTCACACTATTATTCACACCAGCAGCAGTGGGTGCCCCAACAAAGAACATCACTGGACGACGTCATTACTCCTCACCCTTTCCACAAATGCGTGCTTCTGTTCACCCATGATCTCTCCATGAAAAAAAAAAAAGAACTGTGCACCAGTCTACTGCCCAATTTTTTTTCACTTTACTCCCACCATTTTCCAAATCTGTTGAAGATTCAACTGGCAAACTTTGAAACAGAATCCAAAAATACAGTGCAAAAAATGTGCTGCATGTCTCACTGCACCCCACCACCATGCTTGCGTCTTTTTTATGGTTTACAATAATTGTGTAAAAAGGATTTGCCTTAAAATGAGACACACCTTGAAAGGGATAAAGGAAACTAGTGAAAAAGACATTTATTGGCATTTGAAAAATACTCCCTAGGATTGCAGCGTTACAATTTCAGCTTCAGATTCATTTTGTGGAAGATCAACTGTTGATTAGCCAACTCTAACACGAAAGTACTGGATTTTGTTTTGCTATGGTGAATACAAATCCTCCTTTGCAAGCTGAAATTTACATTCACTGGCTTTTTGTTTACTCCCTTCATTTACAAAACTTCTTTGTCAAAAGGAACATTCAGCCTTTCTATCCTACGAGGCTTTGGTGAGGTGTTAACATTTTGGTTAAAATGCAATTCGGGCACAGTAATGTTTTAACTTGCAAGGTAAGATGCCTTTATTGAGTTGGTAGAACTCCACTAGTTGAATGAGATCAGAAAATCTGGTGTGGCCATCATCCAGCGTATAAAACAGCTTGCCTTCCTCTTCCAACTGCAAGAAGAGGAAACACCACATCAACAATAATTTCTATTGTGCTCTGCAATCCTTATTTCATTCATCCAGCCTTTGCGATGATGGTTAGGTGGATACTCATTTGCCACTAAGAACATCAAGACCAAGTGTAGATTGGGACTTTAGATTCTCCAACACCTAAAGATCAGGTCCCATTATTTTGGAGCCTCATTTGCAGGCTGTGATGTTGGATCTCCATGTTGCAAAAAGTTTGGAGGGGGCATTGCAAAACTGAGTAACGTTTGCCCATTCAGGGGGGGGAGCAGGGGGAAGGAAGCACACCCTTGTGTTGCCAAGGCAACAAGAAGATGTGCCCCTCTTTTTCTGTATGTGCCGTAGCTTCTCAACAAACACTGGAAGCTAATCACTTAAAGGCTGCAGTTCTAAGACAAATAATAAAGAAGGGGATATATATTGCTTTGAAGGTTTTTGCCCATTGTCACTGATTTGCTTCTTCGTTTTTGTGATGTTCTACTGGTTAATATTATTTGCCTTTCTCACCTTGAGGCAAGAAGGTAAGCCATAAATCCGAAAACAAAGAGATAGATTTGAATACGCTTTGCTTTAACTCTGGAAGCCCTTGCATATGCCAGGCAGAAGAATGGCACAATGCGGGAAGCTTATCCAGAGATCTGATATTGCTGAAAATATATTAGGAGGGATGAGCAAAGTCTCGAAAGCCACAGGGCAGACTTCCAGCATCTGCAAAATTGGGCCTGCGTTCCTTGGATAGCTCCATTTCGCCCATCCCCATGTCCAACAGGAGCATCAGGCAAAGGAAATGAAGCACATGGGTGTCCTTCCCTTTAAAAATGTTTTCCAGTAGCCCATTCTAGCCTTTCATGGTGCAAAACTCGGCTGCTTAACTATACCTACCATATTTTCCGCCCTATAGGACGCACCAAGTTTTTTTTGGGGGGGGGGAATAAAGAAAAAAAATTATTCCCCCCCCCCAGCCGTGGCTTCAGCGCGCCCCATGCTCCGGGCAGCAGGCTGCTATCCGCAGCCTAGGGAGCCCTGCGGGAACTCCCGCGGGCTCCCCAGGCTTGCTGATAGCTTCCTGAAGCCTGGAGAGAGAGAGGGGTCGGTGTGCACCGACCCCTCTCGCTCTCCAAATTTCAGCGAAAGCCTGCATTCGCCCCATAGGACGCACACAGATTTCCCTTTCATTTTTAGAGGGGGGAAAGTGTGTCCTATAGGGCGAAAAATACAGTACTTAACCTAGAATTAAGCTCCATTGCCTTCAATGGGACTTACTTCCAAGCAGGCATTACAGCATTGCTATGTTAATATAGTGGTAAAGACCCGCCTTTTTTGAGTGTTCATTCTGACTCACTGTGTTTTTAAAACATTCCTCTTTTGCTTACTAATGCTGCCCCGTTTTCTGATAAAATATAAGGAAGTTGTTCTTGCCTTTTGACTCTCAACAGATTCTACCAAGTCCTAGGACACTCAAAACATATGGGGAGAAAAATAAAACTAGAACGACAGGCCTATAATCTGAAAGAGAGCATATATACAATACATTCATATTCTCTCTCTCTCTCTCTCTCTCTCTCACACACACACACACACACACACGTATTATTTAATAGATTTCTATCCTACCTTTTAGGGGGAAACAAATCTTACAAGGAAACTCACAATACTGCATTAATTAATTAATTAAAATGTGCAAAACACCGTAATTTAAAACTAGATAACACTCAAAATAATGTGTGTTTGTGTACATACATACGCACACTTGCATTTGGATTTAAGAAAATGCAGAGACTATCGTAAGGAGTTCCATTAGAATTCCATTTTCATGTGTGAGAGGTTTTAATTCTCAAACCATCACTATTTCACAGAAAACTGTAAGCAGCAGGTTTTAGCCATTAGAAACAGAATGAATTACCAAGAGGCATGCCACCGTTTTGGCAGTAGTATAAAAACCATTTTACTACCGGTCCACAAACTTGCTGGCTATACTTACGGGTACAATTTGAAAGTGCTTTATTTTCAATCCATGGCTCAGTGACAGCACAAAGGTTTTGGGGTTACTCTGGCTATCCCGTACCAAGAAAACACTAGGAGGTGAAGGAAAAGAAACAAGTATCAAACAAGTATGAAAATCTGGCAGCAGTGAGTTGTTGTTAAAGTTTTGTAGCTTTCCTAAGAAGCATCAAAGTTTAGGGGCAGAAATAAGTACTTGTTCATGGCAAAGAGACATTATTTTACCTACTTAAGTGGCAAATCTGTGACAGCAATAAATAAATGCATTCTCAAACTCTCTTTAGATCACTGTATTTCATCACTCCATCTAGTGGCCAAAGAATGAAACCCGAACCAAACATTCACCTGTTATCCAAGATCGATGTGTTATCTCGGCGACTTTGTGGTCCCAATTCCACCGTTTGCCAAGCAAGATAATGGGAACGCAGAGGCAGGGCCAAACATGTCAAGAGAGGCTCAGTGGTTCTGTTAGGGTGGGTTGCTATTCTAGGCTGCATCAACAGAAGTATAGTGTCCTAATCAAGGACACTAAATTTAGGAAACCACAAAATACAGTCGTACCTTGGATCTCAAACGCCTTGGCTCCTGAACAAATCGGCTCCTGAGCAATTGAAACCGGGATGTGAGTGTGCTGGTTTTCAAACAATTTTCGGAAGCCGAACATCCGGAACAGCTTCTGACTGGCTGCAGGAGCTTCCTGCAGCCAATCGGAAGCCACACTTTGGTTTCCAAACATTTTGGAAGTCAAACAGAGTTCCGAAACGGATTCCATTTGACTTCCAAGGTATGACTGTATCCAGAAAGGTAGTGACGTCCAAGCTGGTGCCACAAACTCTCTCACCAAATTTAGGACCACCTGTACATGCTTTCAAGGCAGCCACTAGCGTAGCATATGCCTGTTATGTCTGATTTTGTTTTATCGTTGCGACTCATGGGGACAATTTGACTGCTCAAGCAGTTAACAGTTAGTCCAATTTTAAAATAATAATAATAATAATAATAATAATAATAATAATAATAATAGTTGGAACTCTTACCCATCTACCAGTCCTTGTCGCAAAATTAGTTGGTGCGCCTCATCTCTAGAGATCTTATGGTGAAACCACGGCTGTGAACTGTGTATGGCTGAAGTGTCAGGAAGAAAGGGAGGGAAAATTCTTACTAGGATCATTTTTGTGTACAACAATAGTGTTGCATTCCATGAGACCCACTGAATGGTACATACCTATATTTGATGACACATTCTGCAGAGTATTGGGACTACTGTGAGCACCAAGTCGCAGACACCCTTTTTTCTACGTGGGAAGAAAGAAAGAAAATCGTAAATATTTCAGAAGAAAGAAAGGGGAAAAAACCAACAGAAAAAAACATTGTAATGAACTTTTTTTTCTACCCGCCATGCTAATCCTTCTTCCACTGCAACTGAAAGGGCTTCTGTGGGGTTTTCAATCACTCTGGATTTATGTCCTGTGAAGTCCATGGCCACTAGAGAATTCTCTGAAACACTTCTCTGCAAAAAGGAAAAGGAAAAAAAAATCCATTTAAAAACATTACTGACCGAAACATTTCACAATATCTCCTCAGATTTCTGTTTTAGAAACAGCATTTGGCTTCTCCCTGAGCCACTCTCAGAGCAATAATAATCTTTGCATCTATTGATTAGCCAGTTGGAAACTATATTAAGAATAAGGCAAAAGTGTTCTGTATATATATTGCAATAAATATGTCCTGAGGGATTATCCAGTTATCAAGATCAGAAAAAAAGATATTTCATATATATAAGAGGGTTTACACTCTGCTCTCTGCTTATTCGACACCATAGCAATTCTACTCGTACATCTACAGGGAAGATTTTACGGTAGTTAATATAAAAATGGGCGAGATAACTTTCTGACAGCCCCTGCAACAGTGGGAAGCAAAAGAAGAAATAAACGCCTATCTGAGGAGGACCACCTATTTAAATGGTATTAGGATGATGTCAAAAGTGGTAAAAAGAATTATCTATGTCCGGCAGCCAAGTGGTCTTGCCATATCTCTTGCTGGAACGTGATGGATTCTAAGAGCTTATTCTGAGCCCTGTAACTAAGTGAATAGAGAGATGGCCCACAGAGGGCACAGGTGGGCAACACATGAGCTAGATGTAGCTCTCGGTCACTCTAGGTCCCATCACTTCAGGTGGGGTATCATCAGCCAGCTGGCACCACTGATTTCGGCACAGGGAGAGTAGCCTTTTGTCCACTGGGAAACATTAAACATCTCACCCGACAACAGCACTGCTCCCCATACAGTGGTACCTCGGGTTAAGAACTTAATTCGTTCTGGAGGTCTGTTCTTTTTTTTTTTTTTTTAATAATTTTTATTAGTTTTTTTAAACACACAGTATACACAAACAATACACAGTACAGAAACATACAAACATATAAACATGTATAATTTCTTAACCATTTTTTCCTAACCTTATTTCTCGGACTTCCCCATACCTTCCCCTCCCTGCATCCTTGTTTTGTACCTCTTTAGCAACTCCTCGGTCTAATCATTCAAATCAATTTCTTTTAAGTTTCCCTAAATTTGTTAGTCTTCATACATCCCAATTCCCATAATTGTATCAGCAGATTGTCATTTTCCCTTCTTGCCATATTAATATTACATCTTTTATGAAAATTTTAATCCTTATCCTAAGTTGGACTCAAGTTCCCTTCCATCGATTTCACAATTTTTATGAAATATGAACATATTAACTGGACCCAAAAAAGAAACAAAAAAAAAAAAAAGAAACATAAATTTCTGTTTTCCCCCTCCCTTCCCCGGTTTCCGTCCCTTCCAAATATGTGTCCAAAATAACAGCCCTTAGCCTGGATTTCTCACGTCCGAGGCCTTCAAGTCTCTTTCCGTTCCTCTCCGCCGGATTTGTTGGTAGTCCTTCATGTTGGTCTTTGGATCTCTAAGGAGTTCTGTCCCAATCAGGCCGGATTTTATTCCCTCAGAAACACTTAAGAACAACTGCTGCAAAAGCTCCACCAATCCTTCATATTCAAGGTCAGAATGGAGGTCCCAGTCATATTTCTTCTTTCTTTTAAATGCTTGAATTCCAAGTATTCCAGGGGCTTCCTCCTTCATCTTTCGCTTCTTTTGCAGATTTATAATCCATGTAATCCAAAGGTCTTTTTGTTTGTAAACCACTTGTAAAGGCTTCTGTTGGTTAGTATTTTCCATCATTTCTCTCTCCTTTACTTGTTTTGTCTGCTTCACTTCTTGCGATATCTCTTCCAACTCAGCTGCAGATTTTTTCTCATACAGTTCCTCATTACGTTCAGCAGAGCTACTTATTCCTGAAGTCAAGGCCACAAGTTGTTTATTCATTGCAAGGCTCTGCTCTTGTAAAATTCCCACAAGATAAGATGCTCTTTCTATCTCAGCTAGTAACTTTCCATCCGCAGCCATTGTAATGTCTCAGAATTCCCCCTAGGGGGAATCTAGTTAGTTAGTAGTCTTTTCCCAACAATCTCACACTTCGCTGCTTGTTTCTTTGTTTCCAACCACTTCAGTTCAATTGTATCACATTTAATCCAGAGAGGTCTTAAATAGCAGGCTTTTTCCCTTTAAATTGCCCGTTTGACAGCTTTTGACAGCTGTCAAACTCCTTTCCTTTTCAGCAGGCTCAAAGACAGGACGCTCCCGGGCCCGGGAGGGGGGGGTTTCCATGCAGCACAAAGAAAACTTCTAAAAGTCCACTCTTACCCTCCAGCTCAAAACTTCTTTTACCAAATCGTGGAAGCTAAATGTTTTTTTTAACTCACCCCAAAAGGGTAGGCTCTCCTACTTAGTTCTACTTTTCCGTTGCTTTAGATGTCATGCAGTCCGGGGAGGCAGACTTCCTTGATTTATGCCTTTCCCGTTTTCAGCCAAATTTCCAAATTAGTTGTCCCATTTAAATTTTTCAATCTTACTCACGAGTATTATGGTCGAATTTCAGATTTAGGAAGGAATCGGCGCTCTCCGCTCAATGGCGATGCGGCTTCACTCCGCAGGCTGGGTTGCGACTCTCAGCACCACGCTCACACCCGATGCCGCTCCGGAGCCTTTAAAAAGGCTCTTTTGCAGTACCGGGGGGCGCAAAGGTGCCCGCCGAGTCTCCTTGCTCACGGGCTTCAGCGCCCGTGATTTTAGGGGTCCCCCGCTCGCCGTAGCGGGTCAGACCCAAACTTGCGGAGCAGTCCTCCCTCGGAGCTCGAGGGGAGGACCGCCATTAAGCGCTGGCGCCGACCGGAAGTCCTGGAGGTCTGTTCTTAACCTGAAACTGTTCTTAACCTGAAGCACCACTTTAGCTAATGGGGCCTCCCACTGCCACCGCCGCTGCGCAATTTCTGTTCTCATCCTGAAGCAAAGTTCTTAACCTGAGGTAGTATTTCTGGGTTAGTGGAGTCTGTAACCTGAAGCGTCTGTAACCCAAGGTACCACTGTATAGCCAAAATCACTGCAGACAACTATCTTGGTGGCATCAGGAGCACTGTGAGGCAGGTTAAACACTGTATGTGTGTGCAAGAGGTGGGAAATTTTGTGTGTGCGTGTTTATACGCATGTGTGAGGTTGTGTGTGTGTGTGTGTGTGTGTGTGTGTGTGACTGTACCCCCCTTTACCTACCACTACATGTGGGCCATGCCCCCCCAAAGCTTGTCTAGCTCAGAGATATAGGCACTGTCCTCCCCACCTTTTGTTGAGCTTGCATTGCACTCTATATAGAAGCAACCCAAATACTTTTTTTCCAGCAGCTGCTAAGATACAGGCACATATCAAAATGGACGAAAGCATCTCACTGAGGTTCATCCATATGATCCTGTGCATGGTTCATGTAAGGGGAGCAGGGAGCTACGGTTAGTTTTAACATCTTTGACAGAAACACTATGAATTAAAATAGTATGAACTAAATAAATCTTTGCAGGTAATGGGATGCCCTCAGAACAAATTACAGCATAATGTAATACTCTTGAAATAGTATGGAAAACCTGGTGAATAACTGGGGCAGGGTGGGGGCTGGGAGAAAGGAGCAGGCCAGGTTTTGTGGATCGGTATTGCTTCATATGAGCTGAGAAGTACTTACCACAGGTGTGCTCAGAGAAATGCACCCACTTCTACCTTGATAGGGGTGCATGTAATTCTGGTAAAGTTGCATCCCATACTACAAACAAAGAAGAAGGATAAGAGCTATTACAGTCTTGTGGATTTCAAGATCAACAGTCGGAAAGTACTCAGTGGTGAATTGTGCCAACCAGAAAGTGGGTAATTTCCATCACACTTTGCCTCTCTCCATAATCTGCCCGCCCCCTTAAAAAAAAAAAAGCTTTGAAGTGATTAGTAGGTAGCTACTTTTCTGTTTCCAAGATAAGGATGTTGACACTCCTTTGCAGGGAGTTTTTAAAAATATTTAAGAACAGAAAAGCTGTCTACCTATGCCAGCATTCTCCTCCAAAAGCAGCCAGCCATATAGGTTTGGATCCTCCCCCCCCCTTCCAGGAACAAAACAGAGTTCATGGCCCCGGATCTGCCCCATTCACCATTTCCTCTGCAAACCATGGAAATTTCCCCTGGGGATTGGGGGACTGTTTAGCATGGCATGTGATATAATTTTTAAACTTCCCTCTTAGTCGTACTATGAAAATTCACCTGTATTGGCAAGTAACCCTGTGTGCCTGCAATCCTAAAATTATTTCCTAGGGAGCAAGCCCCACTGAAGTTAGAGGGTCTTACTTTCAAGACCCTTTATCAATAATAACCATTACTAAACTTTTTATTTGTCGTGTCTGTATGCTTTAATCATTAAAGGGTAACTAAGAGTTATATACAACCACAAAAGGGGGCGGAATAACAATTTTTCCAGCTAATAAGGTATAAGAGCTGCTAAGGTTACCCTTTTTAACTTTAAGAAGAGTTTATCTTACTGTCTATTCACATGGGTTGTCGCTGTTTAGTCTGCTGTCTTAGTTTATAGGCTTGATCATTTTCTATTTTTATTGTTTATTACTACACTGTCAGCTGCCCTGGAAACATAAAATTTATGATTGCAAGTGTGGGGTATAAAAGTATGTATGTAAAAAGAGAAAACACAGAGCTTAAGGAGATTGAAAATATCATTTTTACCCAAAGGCTGTAAAAGAGGAATGAGGCATTTTGTATACAGAAATAATTGGCGAAGGCAATTAATAGGAGAAGAGGACATTTACCTTAAGCAACCGAATTGCTGTCACCCAGCAGGTCCTATTTTGTTCACTTTCTGCATAAAGTTGTTTCAGGTCTCTGGCTCCTCCTGCTTTCTGAGGCTAGAAGGCCACAGCATATTGTTTTAGCATTAATTCATATCTTGAAGGCAATACCTGTTGAAATAAAGGCCACTAATTCTCCCATTTCATAATCAAAATTTCATTTTTTAAAAAAATTAATTTAATTTCAATATTATTTTTCCTGGTGCCAATTTTTAACGGAAGTAAATAAATCCTCCCCCTCCCCACAAAAAAATATGTTTATATTTATTATCAAAACGGTTAGGCATTTACCTTAAAGCAGAACCCATAGCTGACTGGCACTCCAGATATCTTTTTGCCTGTCAAAGACACATATATGTCACTACTGCTGAATTCACTGAAAAGCTGCAGGTGCCTTGGCTCCTAAAAGGAAGAGCAATATAAAACTATTACGGACATCTTAAATTGTTTACACCAAAAGGGGGGGGGGGGAGAGACCGTTCTTTAAAGTATATAATTCCCCAAGTCAGCATCTAAATGATAAAAGAAAGGTGTTTCAATGTAAGGTGCAACAACTTACTTTTCTGAAGTGAAAAAAATTCGATCAACACCCATTTATTATTATCCCTTGTTAATTTATTAGTTCCTTTCTTTTGCCAAAGGCAACTCAAAGCAACTTACAGCCAAAACCAGTGTAAAGCCTATGCTAGCCTTTGCCAACTAAGTGCCCTACAGTTGTTTAGCTGCCTATTTAAAAAAGACATGCTAAAAATTCACTTTGCGAGTTAACTCTGCAAGTTATAAAAACCACTTTCATTTATTCAAATATTAACAAATGAAAACCCCTAGCCCGTTCCATGCCTGCCTGCACCATAAATGCCTTCTTCTCTTTTCAGCATCATCAACAAAACCTGAGGGAGGGGGAGCTTGGCTTTTTCAAGAGGCCTTAAGGAGTACAAAACTATCCCTTACTGTGGAGAGAATATGATGCATACTGACTGAGCTCTACCATTTGCCAACCTTACCTTTGACGTCCCCTTAGTGGAAAAATACAGACCCGATCTTCGCAGCAAAAAGTACATCCTTTTCCAGGTTTTTTTCCCTTGCTCTTTAGCATGTAAATAACTGTGAATTTCAGGATATGTACTGGAACTTAAAAACATCTGAAAGGGGAAAAAATACCACTTTGAATCCCACAGGAACAGACCTTTATCCAGCTACTCCTTCCTGTGCATATGTGGGAACTCTGGAGGAGCTTCGGACTGCGCTGACAGGTGAGGAGTGTGAGTTCTCAGAAGCCTGTGGGAATTCAGCTGCTAATCTGACTGAAACGGAACACGTTATTTGGTTTCCTATATTGCTAAGCTTTTCGCGAAAGGACCTCAGAGCTTCCACACACTCTGAAAACACTTTGCACGCTGCTAATGTTACTAAGGATATGTTAAAAAGGTAAAGGTAAAGGGAACTCTGACCATTAGGTCCAGTCGTGACAAACTCTGAGGTTGCGGTGCTCATCTCGCTTTATTGGCCGAGGAAGCCAGCGTACAGCTTCCGGGTCATGTGGCCAGCATGATTAAGCTGATTCTGGCGAACCAGAGCAGCGCACGGAAACGACGTTTACCTTCCCGCCGGAGCGGTACCTATTTATCTACTTGCACTTTGACGTGCTTTCGAACTGCTAGGTTGGCAGGAGCAGGGACCGAGCAACGGGAGCTCACCCCGTCGTGGGGATTCGAACCGCTGACCTTCTGACTGGCAAGTCCTAGGCTCTGTGGTTTATAACCCACAGCGCCACCTGCATCCCTAAGGATATGGTAGCCTGCTGTTATTTAGCCACTAGCCTTGCCAGTGAAGTTCATGCCATTGCATTCCAGTAGCTGGGAGTCACAACTGGGGGAAGTTTTGTTCAGGTCCTGCTGGTGGACTTCTCAGAGGCTTCTTGTTGGCCACTGTGAGAATAGGATGCTGGACCAGCTGGGCCTTTGTTCTGATTCAGCAGAGCAGGGCTTTTGCTATTGTTCTTATTTTACTTGTTTTACTGAGCTCTAACATTTGCCAACCTTACATTTGCCAGCGCAGACCCGATCTTCACAGCAAAAAATACAGTGGTACCTTGGTTCCCAAACGGCTTAGTCGTCGAACAAATTGGCTCCCGAACGCCGCAAACCCTGAAGTGAGTGTTCTGGTTTGTGGATGTTTTTCGGAAGCCGAATGTCCAACGTGGCTTCCACTTGAGTGCAGGAAGTTCCTGCAGCCAACTGGAAGCTGTGCCTTAGTTTTTGAACGGTTTTGGAAGTTGAACGGACTCCCGGAATGGATTAAGTTCGAAAACCAAGGTACCACTGTACATCTTTTTCCACGTCCCCACCCCCGCTCTTTAGCATGTAAATAACTGATGCTAACAGAAGTAATAACTTTTTAAAAAAATATATTTTCTAAGAAACCAAGTCTGTATGCATCTAATAACCTGTTTCACAACTCCTGTCTGGGAGCCCACCTATGAGAACAATCAGATTGCCAGGCACATGGAACAGGCTATCTTATTCAAATGACTTCTAGTGGTGAAATAATGTGAAAACTATTCAGTGGAGGCTGGTCCGTTAAGACTGAATGGGGCACTGCCCCACCAACCTCAGCCTGCCCACACCTGCCTGCCTCCTTACTTAGACCAGTCCTGAGGGTGGTACTACCCAGTGGCATAGCGTGGGTTACCAGTGCCCAGGGCTGCACAGAGGGGAGTGGGAGGGAAATGGATGGAGCACACATGCACGCTCAACTGTCTAATGGCATCCGTGTCATCCAAGAAGGGATCGCAGCCACAGAGATAAGGAAATAGTCGTTCCGTTGTCCGGAGAGGTCACTTCCTGGTTCACATGGAGAAGCCATTTTCAACAGAGCCCAGCGATGCGAGCATGCACACCCTAACAGCCCTTGTGCCCCCCCACACGATGCCACCGGTACTACATGTCAGCTCCCTCCTCCTCCTTAGCTTCAGTGTTGCCCCTTATAGCTGGAAAGAGGATGAGGAGAAAGTTAGAATTAGTTGGCTCTGCCTGTCATGGGCTAAGATACCATTCACTGATGGTCACCCAGATTTCTGTCTTAACATTTCTAATGAGCACAAGCCATCATTGGCTATCCTTAAACCAGAACTCCCTGTAGAACAGAATGGGAGGGTGAAGAAGGAGGTTTGTTTTATAAAGCACTTAAATTTGGGGAATAGGTAGGGACCATGCCGTTCTTAACAGTGCCGGGCCATGCCAGCCCTATTGTTCTGTCAAACAAAGGCAATGCTTGAGATTTTCAGACACACTCAGCTGAGCGGTCCCGTTTTTAAAACATCAACATCTCACCTGCAGTATTTGCGTGTGGCTCATGGCTCCATTGATCTCATTTGAGAGGGATATCAGGTGTGCAGGGAAGAAAGTCTGTTAAAGAAAAAACAAAAGTACTAGAAGGGTTCAGGAAACATTCACAGATGCACACCACATTTAGTTAGAAGGCCTAGATTTCATTTCCTTTATACCCTGTTTATGAGCCCTCTTGTAAAATAAGAACAACAGTAGTTGCCCTTGCCTGAAAACAAGGCCTTACAGCATCTGCTTATACGCTGAAGAACCAAAGCTCAGTGGCAGATTACATGCTTTGAATGCAGAAAGTCCCAGGTACCATTCCTGGCAGGTCCAGTTAAAAGGATCAAAAAGAGAGAGTTGCCTGGGCTCTGAACCAGTGGTTACAACCAGAGTAGACAAAACTGGGCTACACTTTATATTTGAGTTTCTTCAGTGGCGTTTTTATCTGGATTGTTTTATTTGATATTTTAATGTGTTCTAAACTGCTCTGAGATTTTAAATCTATAAAGTGCTATAGAAATGAAATGAATGATAATAGTGATAGCTAGAGAAATAATCTGACTAAAGGCAACACCCAGTGTTCTTAATGCTTTACTCCTGATAATAAACAGAGGGTCTTCCACGGCCTTCAGAACATCAAGAGGATTAGTACTTGGGTGGATTAGTTGAGCCATACGTAATCAGGGTTCTCTCTCAAAGAGATATCTAAAACTGCCACATTCAGGTGGAATGTACAGGTGTCTCTCCACTTATGCTTGCAACCACGTTTATGCATGGCGCTAGGAAATAATTTAACAAATCAATTTAAACTGGGGGGAAAGGCGCGAAACGGACTGGAAAGAGTGGGGGGACTGCAAAAATGGCACAAAAAGAGTGGGAAAACAGCTAGCAATCCCAGGAACCTTTGCAACACTTTCAAGGGTTTCCAAAGGTTTACAGGCTTCTTAAGAGTGTGTTCCCCACAATACACAATTTCACATATATATGCAGTACCTGGGAACGCAGCCCCCACGTAAGTGGGGAGATGTCTGAATATGGGGGTGGGGCAACATTCATGTGGCCACCCAGGCAGTGGCGTGGGCTAGTACTAATGGGAACAGCTTTGCAGAACTATTTGCAAGTCTGCTATACTCTGTTTGAGCAGCGGCAGCAATAAGTAAGATAAAGGATCTCAACAGAGCCCAAATGCCCTGCCACTTCTTCCACTTATTCTAATAATGCTGTGTTGCCTTGTTAGGTATTTGGCAGAAACTTGTTTCAGCTGACCCTCAGTGCCTAGAATTATATCCATGTTATCAGGGTGTGGGTGTATGTGTGTATGCAATGGTACAGTTAATTATATTTCTTGGCAATAGTCCGGTTTTAACTGGGTGCCATAACTGATGACTAGCCACCCTAAATATTAAGGATTAGTAATTGAATCAAATCAATATACAGTCATGACTTACCTCGGGGTTTTTGAAGAACTCGTATTTGGCATAATTTTTTCTAAAATAAAATCTATTGCCTTCTTCAATTCCCCATCTTGACTGGATTTCAATCATCATTTCATGGTCTTCAATTATTCTCTCTGTGTAATAAAAGAAACATAAATCCTAGCAATTCTCCTAAATTAATTCACCTCCAGTGGTAAAATGCAAGAATTTGTATAAGTCACTCAATATAATGATACTACAGCAGCTGTTGTGAAACTTTTGAAAAGGGCTGGAAGGCAAGAAATAAATAAATGACAAGGAAGGAAGGAAGGAAGGAAGGAAGGAAGGAAGGAAGGAAGGAAGCAGGGACAAACAGGCTGGGTCCTGCATCTGGGCTAGCATGAATATGTCCCCAAGGGTATGACAATGTGTGTAGTTTGGCTCAGTGAAAGATGTCTGACACTCTATGTATTATATTCATCTAACTATGACCAGGGCTGCCCCATTTTGTTGCCTGAGGCAGAAAACAAGATGGCAGCCCTGGTCCATTCCACATACAGATGCTGACCAGGCAGGCTGCTGAATTTTTCTTCAACACTGGTAATGGAAGACTGTCCATTGGCAAGTCTGGCTCCAGCTACTACTCATTTAATACTTTCACACACACACCCCCACTTCCTCACTAAGTAAACCAAGCAAACCTTCCACAATGAGAAAATCTAAAAATGAGATGCACCAAATCCATAGTCTTGTTAACGAGGCAAGTCACTATGCAGAACACACGCATCTCCTGTCATACACTTGCTCAAATAAATTCACACTGGTAGATATCAACCTGACATAACGAAGGCCACTTTGCTGCAAAAGATACATTTAATTTTCATGGCAGCAGAGAGATTGAAAAACCACGCTGAAGACAGAGCCATGTCTCAAAATATGCTTCTTTAAAGACTTTAAAGAAAGCTTTCAAACTGGTCTGACATTTAAGTGTGGTTACATGGATGTCAAAGTGACATTTATGAAAATGCCACCATTTGCAGGTTTGGAAGGTGCAGAAAGTTTTTGGGTTGTTTTTTTTTTAATGTTGAATATATTCAAGAGAGTATATTAACCCTTTATCTGATTGCATTACGGATTATTTAAATGAACAGTCATCATCACCATCTTGGAATGAGAGATGATATCTACAACATGGTTTGAGCAATTTTCCATTTTCTACAAAAACAAAAGCTACATCAAATTTACAAAATTACGACAGCATTCTTGGTCAACCAATACTTCAAAATCAATTAACAAAACTGCCAGAATAAAGAAGAGTGATAGAACATCAGAAAGAATTCATGGTACAGACCCCAAGCCAGGTCTATACATCTAATGGCCTATCAAGTTAACTGCAGTTGTATATGGTGGTCTACCAGGGACTCGTGAAAACTCCCATTCTTTGCTGCCTGCAGGGAAGAAGAACAGAGAAATGCAGCCCGCAATGCATAGTTAGCAGGCTGCATTCACTGCGCGGCCTCAAGTTTTGTGCAAGCCTATTCTACGCCATATGTTTCTAATGGAGTGTTTCATCGCGTTTATCACAACCGAAGCTAGTTCCACCAAATTCTGCCTCTGGAACAAAGCCCAAGAGATGCCAAACCGTACTTCTTTTGAAAGCCACATCTTGAAAGAAAATTCTAGAAGCTCTTCGGATAACCTGGACTGTTGCTTGGCAATGGGCTCCATGGATGTTTCAGTAAACATCCCCACAATGCACAAAGAGACTTGTGGTCTTCTTGCTCATTTCCTGTCTGATCTGGCTTGATCTCTCCTATACAGAACACATCCCCCTACATTTCTCTAGAAGCCAGGGTTAGGCATCTTCTCTCCCTTCTGTTCTGAACAGAGGAAATGTGGAAAGGGCTTCTCTTTGTGAGCAAGTGTGCTGGTGGTCTTCCATCCCTACCCAACTGAGGGGAAAGTGAGGGAAAGGGATGCCTGCACCATTTTGTGGTCCTGGTTCCTTCCCTGCTCTTTTAGATGTGGCAGCCATTTTGTGTTATGACATGCCCCCATGGCAGCCATTTTGTGACTGGTGCCCACAAGCTTCCAGAAGGCCCGCCAGAGCGCTGGGGAAAGATTTGCCCAAAAGTAAAAAACACATATACCCCTCTTGGCCACCTTGGAAGAATTGGGAAAGCTGAAAATGCACCCCCACAGAAATTCTAAAGAAATTCTGAAGTTCCCTCTGAGAACGCAGAAAAATGGAAGCCTCTCTCGAAGGGGAAGAAGACATTTGAGAAACTGGAGGACAGATTCCAGCATAGCGCTATCTGTAGTTATTCCCTCCATCTGCTCTCTTATACCCAACTCGTATCTAATCATAGTCAGCCATGAATTAAATCCATTTATTTTTGTTTATTGCATCAATGGCTCTGGTCAAGCATATTTATAGTCTTGTTTTTAAAAAGCACAAGGTCTCGTGGAGTGGCGTTTTCCCCATTTGAGATTCCCGTGGGTGAGGCTTAGGGAAGATTAACAATGTAATTAGGCAGGGAGTAGTTATATTGCTTCCCAATACATAAGCCCCACACTCTCCGCACATCTGTTTGGGGAGAACCTCAATCGAGAAGAAGCTATGGTTTAGGAGGTGGGAAGGCGGAACCTGTAGCGACAATAAAACAAGAAAGTTGGGGGTTGCAAATGTGTTCATTTGGTGTGATATTTTGAATGAATGCTCCTTTGTGGTCTGGTTTGTTGAATTTATATACCACCTCCCCCAAGGACCTCAAAATGGCATACATAGTTCTTTCCTTCCACATTTTTATGCTGTGAACCTTCGGATGAAGGGCAATATACTAATCAACAACAACAATCCTGTACTATATTAAAGGGAGTTATGATGGCCAAACTCCTGGACCAGTATGAAACACATGGTTAACTTCGGTTTTACCATTTCAGCCTTCAACTAATTCAAAAAACTAAAGAACAACCAATGCCAGTAGAAACCACAAATTACTGAAATTCTGCACTTGAGTCCCTTGCTAAAAGTTAGTATCTGTAAGTTATAAACAACAGCGACACCTAGTGGGCATATCTACGTTCCACACATATATGCAAAAGAAAGTATTAACCCCCCCCCTCTCTCTCTCAAAGCCTTCACACAGGCAGCAGTGAAGTTGTTTAAAACACTGTCAATATTTTCCTCCTTTCCTTTATTTATTTAATCTATTTATATGCCACCCTTTATCCAAAGATCGCAAGGGTTGTGGCATAAAAATGAAATGTTGCTATACTGTGCAAATTTAACAGCTTAGATTTATAGCAGTCCTGAAACTCCCATCCACTGCCGGCCCTGCCATTAGGCAGAGTGAGGAAGCTGCCTCAGGCAGCAGATTGCGGGTGACAAGGAGCAGCGGTGGCAGGAAGGCCCTGGAGGACACAGCTGTGAGCTCTGCAGGTTCTTCCCCTGAGCCCCCTAAGCTAGCCTGTTGCCCTGAGGCACAATGGAAGAGGCTGCTGTGAAAATAAGATTCAACTGCCCATCTGACCAGCTTCCGTACATGGAACTGGAGAAGAGAAGCAGTACCAAAAGCGCCTTCCACTAGCAGAACACAAAATTAACCTGGTGCAGAAATCCCAGGGGTTGCTCTACCACCAACCTGAAGTAGCATAATGTTTCACTGACCGAACAGGTCATGCAAGTCAGGGGTGAGGAACCCCATACTCAGGGGCCAGATGCCAAAATTCCCAAACCTTTGAATTCTCCCCGGTGCCACAATCCCCTCTCCCCAGGACGGAGCCCTTCCTTGACCCGGCTAGAGACTTTCATTGGGTGCTTTCCCCCTGGCTGGAAAGTGCCCTTGAACTCTCATAATACTTATTTTTTTATTTTACTTTTCTTCATTAAATTCGCATGCCACCCTTCGCCCGCAGATCTCGGGGCAGTACACTGCATAAAAAACGCAATACAAAAACACAAAACACATTATAAAAACAACAACAGCAACAAAAACCAAACAAACCAATAACCCACCCTCCCACAAAAACATTTTAAAAGGGGTATACAATTTTAATCAGCCCAAAGCCTGGTTGTTGTTGTTGTTGTTGTTGTTTAGTTTGCCGCCCATCTGGCTGGGTTGCTGCAACCACTCTGAGCAGCTCTCAATAGAATATTATAAATGCAAGAAAACATCAAACATTAAGAATGTCCCTATACAGAGCTGCCTTCAGATACTTGTTTATGGATGAAGGTTTTCGCCTGGTGCCTAAAGGCATATAAGGCCTCTTGCGTGCTTGGATAGAGGATAGAGAGGGGTGGGTGGGTAGGTGTGTGTGTGTGTGTGTGTGTGAGAGAGAGAGAGAGAGAGAGAGAGAGAGAGTGCTGCATCTAGCCTGCTGCACAAAGGTAGCATTTATATTCATTGTTCTGCTCACTTTTGAACCAGGCCCCTGGCCACCACTGACATGCAGGCCTTGGAAGGTTGCTAAGAAGGGAACACAAGGTTCCCCATTCCCAGCAATAGCAAATGCACTTCCACTGGCACCAGTGAAGAGATCTAGGCATCTTTCACCACCCACAGCCTGAACTGAGCCCACTTCACAATTTCCTCTTCATTGGGTAGAAAACATGTAGGCAGTGCAGCAGGAACACTGGATTAGTTAGCCTGATCCTCTGATTCAGCACAGCGTGTGGACAATTACATTGAAAAGTTATGGGGGGGGGTTAAAGAACTTACGAATATTCAAAACATCTGTCAAATCTGAATACTCGAAATGTTGGATTTTGAACATGCAAACTATAATAAGCTACCTGGCATGCTGAAAAATTGCCCAGAATTCCATTTGTGTTTCAGCGGCCAGGTTTCGATGCTTAGAAATTTTGGAGCTCCGGGTTAAGAGAAACCATGTAGTAAAACCCTGGAAAACTTACAAGGGAAAGTTTTGCCAAACAAACACACACACACACCAAAAAAAGGGGGGGATAATTTAGACCAAAAATGATCAGCAACGGAAATGATTTTAGAAGGCTCATGTTGGCCATATTACAGCTGCACAAATTAGAGTGTTAAAAGCAGCTGGCACCACATTGCAAAACCCCAGAAAGAGCGATGTTCTAATAATTAACATGGTGTGTAAACACTTAACACACACACTCATTACAAAAGCTGACATGTGATTATTGCAGTAAATAGAAGCACCATATTCAATTTGCGATGATTTATAGGTTCGGGCCTTTTATTCATGAACCACTGGAACAGCTGCTGGGTCTGTTCGTAAGAGAGTTTGGAGCACAGCTACCATGAATTATTTATTCCTGAGCTAGTAAGTAACACAAATACGTCTTTCGCCATCTCTTACTGAAAAGAAACATTTCACTTCTGTAATGCAGGGGTAGTCAACACAATGCCCTTCCAGATGTTGCTGAACTACAACACCCGCTGGCCCCATCTGTCATGGATGCTTTAGTTGAGATTCCTGCATTGCAAGGGGCTGGACTGGATGACCCTCAGGGCCCCTTCCAACTCTACAAATCTATATAGTGGTAAGGTAAAGGTAAAGGGACCCTTGACCATTAGGTCCAGTCGTGGCTGACTCTGGGGTTGCGGCGCTCATCTTGCTTTACTGGCCGAGGGAGCCGGCGTACAGCTTCCGGTTCATGTGGCCAGTATGACTAAGCCGCTTCTGGCGAACCAGAGCAGCGCACAGAAACGCCGTTCACCTTCCCACCGGAGTGGTACCTATTTATCTACTTGCACATTGACGTGCTTTCGAACTGCTAGGTTGGCAGGAGCAGGGACTGAGCAACGGGAGCTCACCCCATCGCAGGGATTCAAACCACTGACCTTCTGATCAGCAAGTCCTAGGCTCTGTGGTTTAACCCACAGCGCCACCCGCGTCCCTCTATACAGTGGTACCTTGGTTTAAGAACAGCTTAGTTTATGAACAACTTGGATTAAGAACGCTGCAAACCCGGAAGTAGGTGTTTTGGTTTGTGAACTTTGCCTTACATGTTCCATTTGTAAATTGAGCCCCCCGCTACTATGGGAAAGCACGCCTTGGTTTAAGAACGCTTTGGTTTAAGGATTATGTGCGTAACCAAGGCACCACTGTAATTCTATGAATAGGAGAACTTCTGTGAGAGGCCAACATTTAATGGGGCGCCCTTAAGTCTGCGGGCTTTAGGAAGGAGGCACAAGTCTCCACCAGGGTACTAGAGCCCTCCCAACTCCTTACTAAAGCCCAGTAAGTGCTTGTCCGGGTGTGGGAAGGAGGACTCTAGGACCCTGGCAGAGCCCTCATGCGCCCTTCACAGAGCTGGGCAAGTGCTTACCAGACTTTGAAAAAGCGCTCTCCTTGGTTGTACCTAAATCCACCTGTGTATACACAGAACTGAGCCCTAGCCAATTTGACATCACAGCCAAAAAGGACCATGAGGCAGGCTTCTCTGACCCCACCAGACCTCAAATGATGGGCATGGTCTTTCGTTCTACCTCTGGGGTGAATGCTATTCCCTCTCCAGGTTCCCCTTGCGCATTTTTAAAGAATGTGCAATACGTGAAAGCGCTTAAAGCCAGCATTAGATCTGAGGCTTACTGGGCACCTAAAATCTGTACTTATCTTACCGCTCATAAGCGATTATACTAACGACAAGCTGCGGCTCCAATACGCCCGGGCAAGCATTGCTAATGTAGCACAAGCTGTAAAAGTTCCATCTTTCACGCTTATTACTTAATTCAACACAGCTTCAGAACCGCACAACTCAAACGCTGCTGGCATAGCACGGTTTGATCTGGGCTTTCAGAAGTTCAACAGCCGCAGTTCTGAATTCCCCACGATTGCTTTAGTGGACTTTAAATCAAATCTCAGCAGGATAATTTATGGCCTTGTAAGAGGATGCCGACAAGTCTCCTTCAGTGGAACAAAATGTAATTTAGAAGACAAGGCATTCACTATCCACACTGAAATATGCAGTAGGCTATCACTACTGTAACTGCAGCACAGCCAACAATGTCCTTGCAGCAATATTTTTGGCTTTCTGTGCAGCAGTGGGGCTGATGTATGTGCAATGAAGGATGCAAGTTTACAGATTTAGGAGTCTGGTGTTTTTTTTATTTGAAAAAATACATCCCCCCTCCCCCCAAAAACCTCTGGAAATACTTGAATGACTTGTGCATTCTTATCCAACTGTGAAAGACAATGCCTTCCCCCCCCCCAGCCCCAAGATAGGATAGAATTGGTGCTTTTTTCTGAGGGAGTCAGGGGTACACAGTACCGGAACCTTTTTTTTCCCTAGGAGAAAAGCACTGGTTTAAAGTTACCTTTACCTTTTAAAGTGTGCCACTTACTGTAACTTCATGGTGAATACTGGCACCTTTTAGGCTTCTATCCAATGCAGTGCTAAGCAACTGGATAGTTTGGTTAGAGCGTGGTGCTGATAATGCCAAGGTTGCAGGTTTGATCCCCTTACGGGACAACTGCATTTTCCTGCATTGCAGGGGTTTGGACTAGATGATCCTCAGGGTCCCTTCCAACTCTACTGTTCTATGAACTGCCCTAACAGTGCACTTGCATGGCAGGACTTTCAGCCCTCTCCCTGCACCCCCATCCCACTATGAAAGATTTTGGGGCATGCACTCCCATTTCGCAAGGGTAAATCTTTGCACTGGTAGGGCAGTTACTTAGTACTGCATTGGTTGCAAGTGTTTCTGTGTGTTTGTGACGCCCAGCGAAACATACCAAACAGTGGCTCTAGACTCCTAGAGACTTTAGGCACAGGCCCGTGACCTACAAATGCAAACTTAGGTCTCTGAGCATATTAAGAGGGCAGATTAAGAGGAACAAGCAATCCGAGGCCCAGCACAAAAGACCTGGAGCTCCCCCTAGCAACATCTCTGTAAACGACACACTTTCTGAAGCAAGCAGTACTTACCTAAACCTAAGGAAGTGAGATGTTCAAACATAGTCCAGCTGTGATCATCCACATAATGGTTCTTTAGTATGAGCAACTGGCACAGATCTCTGGCTGTTATGTCACTTGGTACTTCCAAAGCTCTGCTAGAGTCATCCTCACTATATATTTTGATTACCTGTTAAAAAGGCAAAAGAAGATTAGCTGATGCACACAGACGTGTAAAATGTGAAAATGCTGGTTTCATTAGCAGGTGATTTTGTTTTATGCTTGCAGCATGCGGAGAACCTTCCTCTGTAACAATTGCTCTGTGTGCGATATTTGACGCAATTACTTCCGGTTTAAGAACCGTCTATAGATATAACTTGGGGGGGGGGGAATCCAACAGATACATAAATATAGGCAGGGCTATTTTTCTAGAAAAAGAGTTGCTGGAACTCACCCTGAACAACTCCCTTGTTCTCTTGTAATGGCATCAGCACCCACCTGAGATGTGCTGGAACTGAGTTCCGGTGTGTTCCGGCTGGGGAAAAAGCCCTGAATATAGGTTGTCAATGATTTAAAGTATGTGTAACATGGAAAAGTTGGGACCACAGGTGTGTACAGAGGCAACCCCCTTTGGCATTTCTCCCTGATGGGAAGTACTGAGGAAGTCCTTTGCTTACGTTCCTCTGGAGCTACTGTGAGTCAGACTAGATCAGGGGCTGCCAACCTCTGCGGGCCCGTGGGCACATTTGCGAACTGTAGAAACTATTACGGACCCCATTTGCCCAAACATGGCACCCTATTCTACAGGTTACAATAGAATGTTTCTTTCAAACCTAATTTCATCAGGAGAAGGGATGAGCAAGGGGACCCTGTAGCCACTGGGGAAGACCTCTGTGGGCTACACACATGGAAACCACGTTGGCAAACCCTGCTCCAGATAATATTGTGCAGGATAATACCAATGACGTGACCCAGTATGTAAGGTGGGCTCAGATGTCCTAGCTTGGAGGTATTCAATTCTGAAAGCATTGTTTTAAGACTGTCTAAATATCACTTCACTCTTTACCAACTTTCTAAAACTTTATATAATATAATAATAATAATTTATTATTTATACCCCGCCTATCTGGCTGGATTTCCCCAGCCACTCTGGGTGGCTTCCAACAGAATATTAAAATATAATAGTCCGTCAAACATTTAAAGCTTCCCTTCAGATGTCTTCTAAAAGTCTGGTAGTTGTTTTTCTCTTTGACATCTGGTGGGAGGGCATTCCACAGGGCGGGTGCCACTACCAAGAAGGCCCTCTGCCTGGTTCTCTGTAACTTGGCTTCTCGCAGGGAGGGAACCGCCAGAAGGCCCTTGGCACTGGACCTCAGTGTCTGGGCAGAATGATGGGGGTGGAGATGCTCCTCCAGGTATACTGGACCGAGGCCATTTAGGGCTTTAAAGATCAGCACCAACACTTTGAATTGTGCTCGGAAACGTACTGGGAGCCAATGTAGGTCTTTCAAGATCGGTGTTATGTGGTCTCAGCAGCCACTCCCAGTCATCAGTCCAGCTGCTGCATTCTGGATTAGCTGTAGTTTCTGGGTCACCTTCAAAGATAGCCCCACATAGAGCGCATTGCAGTAGTCAAAGCGAGAGATAACCAGAGTATGCACCACTCGGGTGAGACAGTCTGCAGGCAGGTAGGGTCTCAGCCTGCGTACCAGATGGAACTGCTAAACAGCTGCCCTGGACACAGAATTGACCTGCACCTCCATGGACAGCTGCGAGTCCAAAATGACTCCCAGGCTTCGCCCCTGGTCCCTCAGGGGCACAGTTACCCCATTCAGGACCAGGGAGTCCTCCACACCTGCCCGCCTTCTGTCCCCCCAAAACAGTACTTCTGCCTTTTCAGGGTTCAACCTCAATCTGTTAGCCGCCATCCATCCTCCAACCGCCTCCAGGCACTCACACAGGACCTTCACTGCCTTCACTGGTTCTGATTTGAAAGAGATTTGTTTTTATATTAGCAAAAATGCCTGTTATTACAAAAGGGTGCGTACGAGAAGAGAACACAAGAGATTGCATTCATTACATCACTTTGTGAAAGCGGAACAACTCTGATGCGGAAGGGGATTTCTCCTCCCCCTCTGTCCCCCAAATCTGTGCTGGGGGTTCCCCTGCCAACTCTTTGGAGCACATTTGAGGATGGCACAGGGCACATGCAGGGTGAAGGAGGGGAAGTTGTTCTGCTCACACTTTTGTTGTCGATCACTGCCCTTTGCTGCAAGGGCCCTCCAAAGGGATATGACGACGCATGTTTCCACCCATTGCCCTCTGTTTCAGCACACTGATATGACACCATGCGGTGTAACATTTGCAAACAGAGAAGCGTTGCCTCCGTTGCGGAACGCCGCATCATGTGTACCTCTTTAAAACACTTCATAGCAGCAGCCCAAGCATTTCCCATCCTATCTTTAAAGCAATTTTTAAAACTCATGCATCTAACACACACACACACACACACACACACACACACACACATGAAATGGTATAGGAGATTCAAATGCAGGACACAACTTGCAGGAAGAAAAGCTGTCTAGACCTCAGGAATCTTGGTATCAAGTTTAGTTTGTGGGATATTACAGAAAAACTCAGAACACACATTTACACATAATTCATCAAAGTCGCTTCAGTGCTGCATTAAAAAAAAAAAGTCTTTACTACCAAAGGTCTGTAAGCAATTCCTTATGTGCAGTTTCTAGGCTACAATTCTCTTCAATCTGCATCCACAAAAGAATCCAAATGTCCACTCAGTCAAGATTTACTGCTGGCAGAAATAACTGTTCGGTAGGCCGCCCAATATACTTCCAAGGCAAGTTAACAGTCTGAAGGTTAGATTCTGACCTTCTGGAAGCCTAATTTATTTGAGAGAAGACTAGGACAAAGACATGGAGCGCCGGTTTCCTCAATAGCAAGAAATCTGTTCCCTCTCCCCCTTTCCAAGGCAGGGAGTTCTGCCAAGGAAAGAGGATTATGAGCGCTGGATGCTGCTAGCCTTGCCAATTTCCTTGGTTACTATATGAAGAATATTCAAGTATTTGGAAGAAATGAGCAGAGGGGTTGGAAGAGAAATCAAAAATCTAAGTGGGGGCGGGGGACGGACGGCAGGGAGAGGTAGAAACCTCATCAAGCCAAGGAAGGTGGTAGGCATTGGCTCATTACCATGTTCTTGTTCAAGGGCATATAAAACATTTTCACTGATTGTGCCTTTTTCCATGCAATTGCTCCCATACAATATAGCTGTTAGCTCAGCTTTCCTTTTTAAAAAACGAAACCTCATAAAGCTCCACGAAGGTCACTGAAAGATATCAGAAAAGAAAAAGGAAAGGAATCAAAGCACACGCTGCTGACCTTTGGATAAAAAAATGTGTGCACTTCAGCAAAAGGGTGCAGTGTTCTTTCTTATTTATTTGCACACTGTTTAATGCCAAAACAGGCTTCTAAGTGGTTTACAAAGTATTTAAAAAGTTACAAAGTTAGTTTCCTTTCCAGCATTTATATCCTATCCTTCATCATTAAAATGACCTCACAACAATAAAAATCACTTCAAACCAATTTTTTTAAAATTAAAAAAATCATTTTTTTAAAAAACAACTGCAATTTAGTACATAAATATCCCCACACCACCTCCATGGTCCAATGCACCTAAGACAAAAGGCCTGAATTAAGACAGGGGTTTTCAGCTAGCAATGAAAGATGGCCCAGTGTTGGCACCAGATTGACCTAAGAGGAAAGGGTGATCCAAAACTGGGGTGCCACTACAGAGAAGGCCTTTCCCCAAGTCCTAAACTGAAAGGCTTTTCTTGGTGATGGTATAACCAGAAGGGCCTCCATTCACAAATCAAACAACATGGTATGTCCAATCTTACAAAGTATCATGCAAATGAATAAGAGGGTAACTTGAGCTCAGCACAGAAATCTGAGACAAATAACTAAGGATCTTGTCTGAAATTGCTTTCAGTTTGGGCATATATACACAAATACTTAGCGCAAACCACCGCCACTAACTGTAATGAAGTAAAGGAGTGAGGTATTATAGACTTGGGAGGATGGAGGTCAGGAGTAAATCAAACCCCCACCCTACAGCAGAATGAACTGCTACATGTTATTTGCAGAAGCGTAATCCAGAACATGAGAACCAAATACCACCGTCACCCAAGAAGCATACACACATTTTAAGAGGTCCGAATCCACTGCTTAAAATACTATCTTCCTCATTTTAACAGTGGTTTAGGTCTAGCAGAGGTTCACTAGGAAAGGCTGTCATCACATTAATTTCTCTTTTCAGGATTCTGCCTCTCTTTGAGGTCTTTCCAACTAGCTTTGGTTTCAGTACAGCTCCCTGGATAACGGTACACATTGGCAGCACCCACAACCCATTTAAACAGAAAATGGTGTTACACTCCAATTTCCAGTGATACACATTCTAGTTTTTATCTTCAAAGTTTTAAACATAGCTGATACTGGCTGGAACAGAGTTCAGAATGAGTAAGTCCCTGATCTAAACCTCACCACTGCCCATAACCACTCTGGCTGGCAGGGTTGTCAACTTTTGAACCAAGCCCTGTGCCTTTAACTGTGATCCAATTTGCAGCAGCTGGCAAGCAATATTGATCTCCACCTGGTGGGAAGCTTCGCCTGCTGGTTTCTGTAGATCAAAGGGATGTTAAAGGCACAGGAGTAATCTACACTTTTTTTTACAGTCAGCTAGCAATTCTGCTAGGAGGCCTCAGGCAAAGCACTATATTGCCTGCAGCATTTTGAACAGCTTACAAGATATACCGACCAACCTTGCAGGATTGTTGTACGGCCTGTGGAGTTTAAAACTGAAATCCTACGCAGTACACACTTACTTGGGAGTAAAACCCCATTAAACTCAAGAGGGCTTAAGTAAATAGTCATAACACAGTAATAGTATTCCAAGGGTGGGGGACATGTGCCCCTTCCAGAAATGGCAGGACTGCAACTCCCACCAGCCCCAGCTAGCAGGGCTAACGGAGAGGATAATGGGAGCTGTAGTTCGGCAAGTCTGCTCTAAGTTGTGAAGAGTGTCGGGCACATGATGCATTTGTACAATGGCACATTAGTACAACTTGCAAGCCAGACACAATTTGAAAAGACAGGGATGCTAATAAATTTGTG